CATTATTATAACGTGAAAAAGAAGAGGTTCTTGTTAGTATTTCGATTTGAAACTTCGCATGAATATTTCTTACACATCATTGTTACGCATGAAAATATATAATACGGATTGTGATAAATAAACTTAGTCTGTTTTCTTCCATATACTTAAAAATGCTTCTTGGCGACAATAACGTAATTTAAGAATTTCTGACTTTAACTGATTGTGACAACACATATGTGGAGAAATGGAGCCAAACTTATAGTGACAATATTAGGCACTGAACCATCTTATACAACCATAATGATTAACACTACAGGCACGGGGCTATTTAAGAGAAAATACACGGCGACAGAAAAAATGTGATTGGGGCATTACTATCTGGAATGACTGTAAACTGCTTCAAAGCAACCAGTTGATGGAAAAGATAAGAAGTCTAAAGACTATTATGCAATAATATATAGAAAAATATATTCATATTGCACATTTTGGATTGCTTGGGTTTTTTAGAAAAAAACGGGTACCGATACCGGGTAGTAAATCCTCCATGCTGTGTTCAATTTTGGTACCCGGAACTAGGTAAAAAAAAACAGGTACCCAAAAACGAAAAATACGAATATATAACATAATTAGATCATTATAGTGCATTATCACGGATAGTGGGAAGTCCTCCATCTAGGAGGTCCAGGTTATGCGACTAAAAATTAAAAAAATATGGTCACCTGTCCTCTAGATTCAGTTTTTGAATGAATCGTAGCATTTAGCATAATGTACAGATTATTTGATATCATGCTATTCTTGAAACATTTATACGCAAAAATAACTGGGTCGCTCACCTCTTATGCCTATATAGTAATCATCAATTCTTGTGAGTAAAATTTCTCCAGGCCATTGAAAGGTTCGCTCAGTAAATTGACAATTTCTACTGCGCATGTGTCATGGGTTGTGAAACACTGGACGAAATGGTTTGGTAAATTTCAAGTTGATTGGTCGAAAAAATCACGCTCCTTTGCGTGATTTGCTTTATTCTCGCGAGATAAGGCGCTCCGTCCCCTTAAATTTTTATTTTGAACAACCATTATGATTTGGTGCATTATCTGACCAATAAAGCAGATTTGGAGGTATGAATATTTTTTTTATTTTTCTGTTTAGTGTTTTCTACAGGCCCTATGTGTCTCAGGATATTTGTTTAACGAAAACTAGACAAATAATTTATTTTAAAAATACATATTTTTTATTTTGGATGGAAGCTGCGTAACCTGACAAATAATATAAGTAATATATGGAGGACTTCCCATAACCGTGATATTAATTGATGTCATATTTTCTTGATGTCCCAAACTCCCACAAACTGCAGAAAAGTATACACCCAGTGTTTTTCCTAAGCGTCGGACCATAGGACATCTCCGGTGATGTGGGCTTCGGACTGATGAGTTTTATCAAGTAGCCAGTCCTCAATTCTGCCTGTGTCCGGTTCCTCATCTAAAATCATTTCTTTACTCCCAAATTTGGTCCGATCGCTGTCTGAAATCTCATTATATCTACGGTAAAACCTTGAAATTCTAAAAATCATTTTAGTGAAATTGGCTGCACGGGAGGATGTTTACGTATCATCATTTTTTTATCAGCATCAAACAGAAACTGTTCTCCGATTGGTTGATTAGACTCTTGGGTAATCATCTCGATTTTTTTACCGCGTGAGGTTTAATTGGCTAATTCAAATCGGATGCGGTAAAAAACCGAATGCCAATTTGCGAATGATCCGGGTATTACGTTCGCCCTTGGTTTATCTTTCGGTATCATTGCAAAATCTGATCGCTGATTGGTTGGTTAATTTTGTCATATATTGGATCGGTTTCGAGATTCCCATGATTATTACGCTTGTTTATCAGGGCTATCGTGAAACCGTATTCGTAAGCGTGTTCGTAAGCATGCAGACCTCATGGTGACCCACGAGTGATGGCACGTGAAGTTAGTTGATCGACCAATCAAAAGCATTTTCAAAACGATAGAATTATGCTCATGCGCATTAATAATGTAAACTTTAAAGTTAATTTTTTGATGATTTTTTCGGAAATTTCGTCCGAATTCAATATAATTTGCAGTTAAGTGTACGCTGAGAAGTAGGTCACCTTTAAGGTACAGCTGGAAAGTAACATTTTGGTAAAAAATTGCTATACCTGCACATGTTATTTTCTGGTACAAAATAAAGTATGAAGGCATGTGTCAATTCCCTTGCTTTTTTCAGGAAAGTATCATTACATTGTCTTCTTTTAGAATATCTGGTAGGGGTTCAATGGGATCTCCAGGAAATTCTGATCTATTTTTCCAAATTTTCTTTCAAAGTTTCCAGACAACACAGGAGCTACCATTGACCTGTTTCTAGATATTCTATAAGTAAACAGTGTAATGATACTTTCCTGAAAAAAGCAAGGAAATACACACACAACTTCATACTTAATTTTGTACCAGAAAATAACATGTGCAGGTATAGCAATTTTTTACCAAAATGTTAATTTCCAGCTGAACCTTAACATGTATAAAAACATGCGATTATGGGCTGATTTGAAACTGAATTCGCAAGAAATTTGCTCTAAAATTTGTTACTTTCATTTCTCTTTTAGTCTTGGACTGGTTAGTTTTCACACGGACCGGTGATTAAACTGAAGTTACAGGTCCGAATGTCCGATGAGTTTTGGTATGGACTGGCCAAAATGTAGAACCTGTCAGTCCGGTGGTCCTGTGATGTATTTTGCCTTAGGAAAAACACTGTATACACCATAAATCATATTTTCAGCATATCCATAATGCATTTGTCACGAGTTTGAGCAGAAATTTCGCCAAAATGAAGTAGTCTCTGCCAGGTTTGTTTATTGTGGTAATCTTGTAAGTGCTCAGAAGCAAATAATTCACTAGAGGCAATCTACACGAGATTCCATTTTTTGGTTCAGATTTTAGCGCATATGCGCATTAAATCCAGTAATTTAATTGGTTCAAATTATTATGATGCATGCGCAATTAATAACTTAATAAGAACATTTAATTTGAGATATATGTCACTTATAATGCACCCATAATGCACCATATATTGCGCGAATATTTTTGTTTAGCGTCAAAACAAAAAGTATACACCCAAAACAAATGTAATGACATAATATCAACCTGCCCCGCTTTTGTAGACGTGTGTTGTACAAACTTAAACCGAACCGATGGCAGAAAAGCACTTTGAATCATGGGAATGGAGTACTTCCTTTAATGAAAAACCGAACCAAGTAAAAACCGAGTCTCGCGCAGATTGCCCCAACTCAAATAATTCAGGTGCGCAAAATAATCAAATAATCTGATTGGTTTAAACTTTGCTGCATATGCGCACAATGTGTGCCATTTTTTCTAGTGATTTCGTTTCGTTTCATGGAGTTTGCGTTTCAGTGTAACTTCCGCAAAAATGGCAGACCATGGACAGAATACACAGGTAAAATCACTTCGAAAACTTTTGTTTTATTTGTGCATTCTTCTATCAGATAAGAGTCTCAGGGGTATGTAGGCAAATTCATTTTGGTAGGAGCACTCTGTTTAGTTTGAAAATGTACCTTTAATTATTATATATCAGCACTATAGAAAACGTGTAAGATTTGTTTTGAATTTACAAAAATGTATGTAACTTTGGGTTTGTAGAAAAAACCGGGTACTGGGTAGTATTACTCCATGCTGGGTCCAAACTTGGTACCAGTACCCTGTCGACAAAACCAGGTACCCAAAAAAACGAAAAATACGAATATATAACATAATTAGATCACTATAGAAAACATGTAAGATTTGTAAGATTTGTTTTGAATTTACAAAAATGTATGTAACTTCCTTCAAAATTAAGCTAGAAGCTTCAAAAGCATTTTAGGAAGCATTCTTCCTCTATCATCATGTTCATATTTTTATTGGTTAAAGGGGGTGGGCGATCGCACCATCGCACCCCATCCTGGCTACGCCTGTGACATTGTAAGACGTAACAATTTACACTTCATTTGACGTTTCGTCGAAAATTGGGATAAATTAAATGTTAAATATTCAAAATCTTACATTTAAATCATAATCAAAACAATTCACGTACCAACAAACTATTGAAAATAGAGTAAGATTGATTTGTCATGTTTTTCAAATCGTCTTACAATGTCATAGGCGTATCCAGGAGGGGGTTCGATGGTGCAATCGCACCCCCCCCCCTATAACCAATGAAAATATGACCATGATGATAGAGGAAGAAAAGAGCCTTAAAATGCTTTTTATTTGAAGCTTCTAGCTCAATTTTGAAGAAAGTTACATACATTTTTGTGTTTATGAACGAAGTAGCTAATTATTTTAGACATATGTCCCAACCACAGCCAGATTGAGCCCGTTTTACGACATTTTCGTAAGACTGGCAAGTGGCAAGAACGGGTAAGAACGAGTTTGGTGTGATAGGGGGGTAATGATTATGGTAATTTCACCTGTTCACATCCAGTTTCTATCATGTATTCACCAATATACATTTTTCCACCAAATGTCATGATAATCTGTCCACAAATATTTGATTATATAGTATGGATTCAACCACTCCATTAATGTGTAATTTAACTTTAGCAGCATGCATAGAAGCAACATTTCTGGCAGCCATTTTGAAAAAACTGCATATATTTTTAATATAATAATAAGTGGAGCTATAGTTCTTTATTTTCAAGACTCGAAAACTAATTAAATTGATTCTACACCCACAAAATCGTAGATTTAGGCACGAATCTTATCTTTATAGCATGTATAGAAGCTATTGTCCCTGTAGTATTTCGGCGGCCATTTTGAAAAATGTGTATATTTCCAATATAAAGAGCCATCTGGCTTGTGTCTTTGGATAAATTTGTTTCTATGGTCCTAAGGTACTCTCTTGCCAAAGGAAACGTTTGCATCATAAATTGAAGTCCAGACCCCCTAAAATGCAGTTAACCAACCTACTATATATGTATATATTAAACCAAATTTCATCTGTATTTCAGTGGAAAGAATGAGCAATTTCTCAAGAACAATATATAATTGAGATCACAATTATATAATGGCCCTAAAATGGTATCACAGGATAAAAGCTTTATCAAGTTGGACTTGGATGCTGTTGTTTATTTTAGTTGAGGAGGCTATCATTGGTAAGTTATACTTTTTCCTTTAAATCAAATGATCATTATCCAGTTTTCTGCATGAAAAAATGCAAATATGCAAGTATCCTACAGAATTCTGATTTTATAGTTATAAATCTAATCTACTTTTCCCAAGACAATATAAATACTGAGTATATGTATATTGTGCAAGCAAATTCATGATATTTTGTGTCCATTTTAAAGTTTCACTAATGCTTATATACAGTCTTCTATTTTTTAAGATACACCAACATTTCTGGCTAACAAACAAATATATACGTTTGATTTAATTTAATGTGGTAAATTGATCTTGGTTTTCAGACTTCAAATCAAATATTTTGATTAAAGTTAAAATTTATAAAGTCATCAGACTAGATTTGACCTTTTACTTTTATTGACCTCTCATGATCTTTTAAATTGGCATCGTAATAAAGTTATTTGTTCTTTTAAATGCTATTTTTTTTATTTGCAGTGTCGAGTCAATCAATTGAAAGCTTCCCTGCAAGCCCATTTATTCAGAGAACTAGAACTAATATAAGTCTAACTTGCAATGCCACTAATGATTTTGTACCTGGAAATTTTGGTATCTTAGCCTGGAGCAAAAATGATGTTCCCTTGACGTCGAATAGTAAATTATCCGAAGCTGCCAAAGTTCATGGCAGAATGAAAATAGAAGTAGTAGACAAGAGTTATACTCTAGTTATATCAGCTCCAGACTGTTCAGATGAAGGAAACTATAAATGTAAAGTAGAAACTGTGGCAATTGACACAAGAAGTACAGATGTTCATATTGGTAGTAAGTATGTTTTATCATTTTGCAATAGAAAGTCAGGAACAAATCTAATTATAGATAACTTTAGGTGCAACAAAGGCATCAGAAACAAGTTTTGAGAAACATTATAAAAACTTATATTTGGCAACCATTTTTATCCCACTGAATGAAGTTTGAGAGGGATATCAAATACTGGTTGACAGATTTCAAATTTTATAGGCTTATGCCTTATGGGTGTTGGACCTCTGCTCGAGAAGGAAATTTCAATAAGGCTCTTCAATTCAAAATGGCCGCTGTTTTTTGTAAAAATACAGTATTTTATAACTTATATACTAAACAACCAATTTGGTTCAAATTTTATATGTTGCTGCTTCAAATACCAGTTGACAGATTTTGTTAAAATTTCATACACGAATGCCTAGAGAAGCTGCCATTTTTTATAATAAAGCATAATATTTGATGACTATATCCTGATGCCTAGGGACATGTGACCTCTGCTCTAGAAGTGATTTTAAGATAGCAGCTGAATTTCAAAATGGCCATCATTTTTTGAAAAGAACATTCACTCAAATAAAAGTGAACATATTTGGATCATTTAGATTTCTTACAAAACAGAATTATTTTAGTAATTTTATATTGAAACTTATTAAAATAAGCTTTTGGAAAGGGGTCAGATCAAAACATCTATGTCTGTCATTAAACATAAACAATTACTTTATAGATGAAGGGGTTAAAACACTATCTTATTAGGTGACAGACATCGATTTTCAGTTTCCAGAGTTTTGTCTTTTCATTATTTCAACCCAAAGTAATTGGTATGATTTTTTGTTAATCTTTAGATCTCTCCAACATATGGCTTATGCTAAATTTGAAGTAGTTTTAATGAAATCCTTGAAGTTGCACTAGAATTTTCAAACTTCTTCAAATTATGAATGTGCATGTAAAGTATAATGAAAGGGAGGGAGAAATTGAAATAAATGAGATGTTTTCATTGTTATCTTAGGATTTAGTCTACACATTTTTATACTAGCATTAGGCCCACCTTAGGCACAGCATATGATGATGGTTTTCATAAAATCCTATTCACAAACAAAAAATTCACCTTGATTGCATTTTTGTGCATTACAATGATGAAAACATCTGATATATTTCAAGTTCCCCTCCCTCACCCATGAACATATAATATTGGTACCCCTGTGATATGCTTCTGAAATTCAAAACAGAATTTGGTAAAACTTCATTTTCAGAAAAATACCATTTATGTCATTGAAATATAACCATGGCATTAATGTTCATAGAAATGTGATGTTAACTTTGAGATAGTTCATTTATACCAATGTACCATTATGGAAATGCCCAAGCAATTGTTCATGTTGATACATGTGGATTTTAAGCTCTCTGGAGATATTTTCATATTCATTTGTATTAGGTGTCTTGACCATTACAATTACTTGAAAATTACCATGCAACTAAATGATAACCTTATAATGTTTATTTTGATTAAATAAGTTGTAAATACAGTACTAGTATGGTTTGTTTTTTGTAGATTTTGATAAAAGTTCTATAGTTTGCGATCCCGTTGGTTCACATGGTTTAAGATGTCGATCTAATACCAATCCAAAAGCAACACTTCAACTTTCATGGAATTCAAAATCAGTATGGAGTAATGCTACAAGTGCAGATCGAACAGTTGATACCAATTGCAATGAAACATTTCGAAATTCTGTGGAGGCATATGAAACAGAGACTGGGGAGCATACTGCAACTTTAAATGTGTATTTTGCTGATGAATCAAACCCTGATTACCCTGTGTATACAGTAAACCATCCCTGTAAGTAATTTTTAATATTGTGGTTTCAATATTGTGTCCAAATTCATTAATTTGTGTTATATTTTTCTCATTATTCGTTTGCGGTACACATTAGAAAATATCTTCACTATGACCATTTATTTTTAAAATTGAGGATTTGTCTTGTCCAGGGCCACATTTGTTGTTAAAGTTGCATGTGTCACATTGCAAGAATGTGATACTATCAAAGCTTTGGATACTACACAAGTATGCTCAAAGTTGCTCTTGATAAAGACAGCAAAATCTTTAATTCACTTAATTGCACTTAACAAATGTTACTTTAACCATGTTATGTATGAGTTTTGATGTTTATTCTTTGTCAATCAAGAAAAATCTGATGATTGTTTGTTCAATGGCTTCAATACCAGAAGAATGGTTACATGATGACTATCCATCTTGTTTTTAGTAACATAGATAAACAGTTCTAAGAACTCAGTAATTTACTTCCTTGTTTGAAAGTAGTCCCGACGAGCAAACTCCAGCATAAAACATGCAGTATTGATTTATGTCATGCTAACCAATATATTTTATTTATTATCTCTTGATATATCTTTAGTGATATGACAAGTTCTAAGTCCATTGTAAATATTCAGATATTTTGTGAATACCCTGTGAACCTTTTTAAATGTTAGAATATGAAATTTAGCTACCTTGTTAAATTCTCTAAATGTCAGTGTTAACTGAATCCTATATATATTTTATGTTTCTTGATAGACATTTGATAAATTCAAATCATTTTTCTATTTAGTGTTCCTGTCC